AATGAAGGAACAGCCTAAGGTCTGCAAATACTTTAAGATCCTCAAATTCCAAAAGAGTGCTTAGTAGAAACACAAATAGTTATGAGTTGTCACATTATAACTTCCTTCTGCACTGGACGTTGGCAGCTATTTGATAAAAGGCTTGTCACACACACTCACTAATGGAATAATCTCTGATCTTCACTGGTCCAGGGGCAGCAATATCGAACAAATAGTGCATAAGAAACACAATGATTCTGATTTTCCTTCAGCTGTTTTTACTTTTTAATTTCTCTGACCTCGAACAATGTCAGAGGGTCAGGCAGGCATCACACTGCCTACAGAGAGATAATGACTACTATAGTCATAGATTATGGTACTATTAGTTTTACATTTCTAAACAATGTCAGAAGATATCAGGCATCTCTGGAACCTCTGACCTAAACTCTGAGACAGTTTATAGCACCAAACAGCATTTCTCTGGAGAAAAAAAAAAAATAGTATCTTCTTAAAAGAATCACAAACACTTTTCAGTCATATGGGTTAGAAGGCACTGTTTTGCTTCCCATTTTCTGAATCAAGCTTAGCACAGATAAACTGTAGTTGTACAAACAGTTTAAGTTATCAGAAGCTGGCACTGATGCTGAAAGAAGCAATTCACCCTGTCTCATCTCTGGCCACTCTGACCTTCTCTTGCACCAGCCTACATATTGATGTGTCTGAGCAGTGAACCAGATCGAGAATCCAGGTTAAAACAAGCTTGAAACCTATAAAATGATTAATTTCAGCTGTCTCATTTTAATGAACCCAAGATATCTGTGGAACTAAAGCATGAGAAAACAAAACTGTGCTCTCAAGTGTACTTAAAAATAAGACATAAAAACAGACTTGCCACACATAAAGGAAAAAAGCCACCTTGTTACCAGTGTATGAAGGTTTGTTTCCTTACTAATTCACAGAGTGCACACTGTAGAGGATATTGTGCTGTCTGCAAGAGCTAGAGGGTTTTCACACCACCTGGTATTAGATTCGTAAGTTAGACCTCCAGGTCTCAAAGTTTCCTCTGCTCAGTGCATGGAGAGACAAGCACTACTCATCAAATGCCAGACTGTAGCTTATACGCCACGGGAGGGATTTAGCTCACCCGACTCTAAGCACCTGTGCCTCAGCCAGTCACTCCAGCCTCTTCACATACTCAGCCAACCAACATCAGCACTTTGGGGGCACAAAGCACTTCAACCCGGTGACCTACATTCAGATGACTACTTCAGGATGAGATGGATCTGCTGTAGAAGTGCTTTTTTCTCTCCGTTAATAGAATCTCTATGACATAGACATGGACTTAGAAATACCAGCATTTGTCAGGTGGAACTTTGCTACTTGTCTCTCAGGCACCTGACTTTCCTGCCACCTTCGGTACGTTTTCTTTAGTACCTCACAAATAATGTTTTGGTGAAGCAGCTTTTTTGGGGGAAGGAAGGAGGGGAGACATGACATGACACATCATTGCCCTAAAACCATGATTTTCACTGTTGTATCAAAATGTTGGAACAAGTGTGAGCCATCTTTTAAAGGCATATCAACAGAATACTCACTGTGACATGTTTGCCAAAGAAACCTTCGCTGCATGTTTTAAACTGTCAGCGTGGTTGGCATCCATGGAAGTGTGCAGCTAAGATCACTGCCAACAACTGTCCTCTGCATAATTCTCTGCATATTATTCCTGAATTACATCATCCCTGTTATTTCTAACATTAGTCTTTTCTAATGTATTTGCTAATCTCAGGAAGTTATGAAGTATTTAGTTCTCTAAATGCCTGGGTATATGAGCTCCTGGGGAGTGGACACAGATAAGTTCTTTTGGACCTCCTGACTCATAAAAAATTGGAAAAGAAGAAAAACCAGCTCATCAAAATAAAACAGATCTGATTTATCTCTGTGTTACTCCCAAGTTACGATTATACCACTTGGATCATGGCAGTTAAACAGATGCAACCCTGGGTGTGACAGAAGGAATTAGGCCTTTTGAAATTTGGATCCATCCCCTTTACTGTAACAAAAGTAACTTTGGCAGGTTCTTTTTAAAAAATATGGAAAAGTCTGTATCTTAAGGAGTAAGTGGTGAAACTCTGGGTATTGGAGAGATGTGACAGACTCACACAGACTGAATGCCTGGAGCTAGACATGGCATTATTTATATTTGCCTGAAATATAGCACATACACCAAAAGCAGCTTTTTGAAGGAAGTAAAATGATCTACTCTCCTGAAAGAAATTTGCAAACACCCAGTTTCATTTATGCCTAATTTAAAGCACTGGCCAATTAAAAAAAAAAAAGCCCATTAATTTCTAAAGATATTCTGTGCATCCAGTAGGTCTCTAGACTAGATGGTGCTCTAGCAACAGCAGTACTTTCTCCATTACACTGCTGTTACTACAGGATTACAAAAATGTTTGTTACAATACATGGACTGTACTGATGAAGATTCATGAAACTGCTATTTATTGTATTAGTATTTCCCAAATTTCACCAAAAACAGAAATGTAGACTTCAGAAAAGAAAAAAAAAACCAAAATGTACTTTCTCTGCCTTCTTTCTCACACACTTCTAGCCAAACAACATTACTGCTGCAACATCACTTCAAAACTATTTACACAGTATTAGTGGGAAGGCAGTTAAGCAATGATGCTTGTGCATGCCTGACATTTGTCCAAGGTAAAAGACAAATAAAGTTGGCAAATATCTTTTTACTGAATCCTACTATCTATTCCAACTAGAACAAGTGACAAATCAGAACAAGTGTTTGTGCTTTTGCAGAAATGGAAAACGGCGAACTTATTTTGTAAGGAAATGAAACAGCTAGTGGGAAGACAATAATGTTTTCAATCAGTAAGCAAATGGAGCTCACCTACAAAATTCCATTTCAGTGAACATGAGTAGGCTCCTTTAACGAAATACAGAATTATTAGTGGCATGCATATTGTTCTTCGGTAGATGAATAGTATGACAGTTTTAAAGATAACTTTAATATATAAGATTTTGCTTTAATCAAAATTGTGTGGATAACTTGAAATACGCACCTCATCGGCAGAAAGAGAACTGTTGAGCTATTGACTTAACATGTAATTATTGCTAAAACCTATTGGCTTTGGGATTGGAGGAATGGAGGGTGGCATATGCAATGCCAGTATCTGAAAATGCCTCTGAAGCTATTTGTGGAAGAGATGCTAGCAGGACTGATAGGTATGGCAGACAATTACCAGAAAGTACACTATAAACAAAAAAACCCACATGGATAGTAACACAGGCTAACAGGGAAGTGCAAGTACGGCTTTTGGAGGCCAAGTTCTTTGAATGATTATGCAGATATGGGTAATTTGGCTGCTATAATGTACTTGAATTTCAAAAAGCTTCTGTAGTTATCTATCAGATTCAAACTATGCTGTCAAGGAGGAACAACAAAAAAGACATCAAGAAATAAAAATGTCTTTTCATTGCTAACTAGAAGTGAAAAGAAAGGTTAGGAATAATTGGTTGTTTTCTTTTACAGTGGATGGATATTACCTGACAGTCTCACAGATACATGTTCAATTTACTCATAAATGATATGGAAAATGGAGGAATAAAAAAGGACAGTTTTCTGATTATATTAAATTACAGAGGTTAATAAAACCAAAAACTGAGTGCCAATTGCTGCAAAAGGACCACATGATGCTGAAAGAGCGTAAGGTAAACAGGCAGATAAAATTCAATACCAATGAATACAGCCAGACACACCGAAAAAAACCCAAACCTAGTGTCAGGTATTTATTAGCTCCCTCAAGATTCTTGAGATTCAGTTTTTCACAGTACAAGAATTACAGCCAAATTAATAATCCAGTAAAAAATTTACAACAAGAAATAGGTGTTTTTTTGAGTATTTCACAATTAAACATTGGAACTCATCGCTACAAGATGCTTTGAATATTAAAAGAATAAATGAATACAAATGAATACAAAAGACATAACTAGTGGCAAAAAAGACCCTTGGGGGCTATTAATTACAAAGCTGCAATATAGTGTCTGGCTTCAATATGTCTGCACAATAAATAGCTCAAAGGAAGCGGAGATGGCTTACTGCCTGCTTACTTTGTTCTTACATTTCTTCCCTGAACACCCAACATTGGCCACTGCCAGAGGAAGGACACTGGACTCTAAGCATCTTTGATTCAATCCAGTGCAGCCATTTTTATGTTGTGTGATGACCATGGACACTGCTGACAACCAAGTAATTTAAAACTGAGAGGCAAACCCCATCTGCATTTTGCCTAAAAATTGATCCTAAAATAGCTTACATTTAGCTACTGAGAAAGTGAATCAAAGACTTTTGAGAAAAGCCTCTGACAGATTTTAAGACTTCGATCGCAGACTACAGCATTACCTTATGAAAAAAAAAAAAAAAAAAAAACCAAACAAACCCCAAAAAAACAAACCAAAATAAACATTGCTATTATTGATTACAAATAGGGTTTAACTAAATCTCCAGAGCTGAACACTTCTGCTTACAGAGAATGCAGGGTGGAATCCACCATGAATCGGGCATAACCAAAAGCCAAATTAAAAATTAAAAAAAGAGACTAATTCTAAAATAAGCAATGAGGAAAAAGATGCAGTAGTGGCTCTGATGCCTGAAATCCACCACATGTAATTTCCATGTGAGATGAATTACTCTTTAGAAGCGCCTGTTTCTTTCCATTGACTATGAAGGCAATCCAAGTGACTAGTTCAGATGTAGAAGTCTTCATTAGTGTTAACTAAAATCAGATTAGATGAATTCCACAACCCTGGAGTCTCATTAACTCAAGACTGACTTAACTTTCATCTGTACCTGTTTTGCAAACCAAACTTCTCTGTGTAGTGCAGTATTTGCAGAACAAATTACTCTGAAGAAATGCAAGGACAATTTTAATGATGAATAGTAAATTTCGAGGTTACTCAACCTGAGAGTCAGAGAATGTTGTAAATATGCTGTAGCTACTTACATCAGTTTTGGGTCGTGCTCCAGTTGACACTGGGTAAGGTAAACAGTCTAGATCCTGGTAGTCTCCTCTTCTGTTTTTCCAAGATCCCTTTCCTTGATGATCTCCATAAAAGCCTGTCTCCACTTGAAGAGGGCACTGTAAGAGAATTTTAAAAACCCTGTAAATAAAGGCAAGTCATAAATGTTTTCAATGTGAACTGCAAGATAAAAACATTGGAATTTTATCTTTTTTAAGATTTTCTTCTCTGATGGAAGGTAAACACACGGTTTCAGTCTTTTTTCTTAAAACCAACTGCTGCATCATTTTTACATTTTGTGAAGTTAGACATCCAGATATTATGTGGTTTCCTTAACAGCTAGTATACACAACTGGAGAACTAATAAGCAGTAGTGCACCTTCCTAAGTATCAAGGAACTGAATCACCTCTACTTTAGAAAGAGAAATGGTTTTATTAAAAATTATTTAAAACTATTTTTTCACTTGATTTCAAATTCATTTTTTTAACTTAAACAGAGACCCAGCAAATTCTCATTTTCAAATTACAGACTGAACTTTCCAAACACACTTTTCCTTGTGCCACAAACCTGGGGAGATCTCACTCGATTGCCCCACTCCCACACCATTTTTCCAAAGATGCGTATCTTAACTCTGGGCCCACATGTGCCCAGCCACACCGAATGTAATGCCAATAAAAGGCCAACTGTACAACATCCCCCCACATATCCTGGTTTGCCTCAAAAGAACAGTAAGGTGTGTAAGCAAGGAGCAAGCAATCCAGCAGGATCCATGCTGGGAACAATGCGGGGATCAGGATCACGACTGCACTGCAGAGCAGTCCCAAGCTGTTGGGTAAAATCAATCAAAATCAGCCCATTATCTGCCTGCTCCCCTTCACAAGAGAACAAATTTGCTGCTGGTCTTTAACAGCAACTGCCTGGTTCCCAGTTAGTATATTTTTAGGGATGGAAAATGAGGCGGCTTTGAAAAGCTGACAAAAGAATCAGTATGTGGCCAGAAAAAGTCTGAAGAGAATATACTACTACTCCAAGTATTAAGAGAATATGTAAATTAAAGTTTTGCTCAATGAAAGTCATATCTCTAATATAAGATGGGCTAATTATAATCAAACAGGATTTCTCTGCCACTATCCCTGAATGATAAAGGATTAAAACCGAAAAATATGATTCTTATTCTTCAGATCTGCTGTTTTATCTGTACTGAAACTGAGTACTAGACATCAAATGGCAATGAAGCAGATACATTAAACAACAAGGAAACACGCTGTTTACAGCAAGGGTGTTTTATCTCTGCTGTCTCATTTACAAAGTACTGCCTTCTATATTGCTAAGAAAGACTTTGTTTCATAGGAAAGGTACAGGTTTTAGAGCAGTACTATCAATTGCAGTTTTCCAAAACTAGCAGTTTTGCTGTTAGTACATTCAGATATCTCAGCTTTCTGTATTTAAATCATATATTTACAGCATTGGTGAGAGAATGTTTCAGAAAATAATTAGATGACAGGTAATTATATTCAATATCTTTTCTAGATCAGATACTGAGTCATCCAGTCAGTGCTACTGCCCCATACTATTTGCCGAAAAAAAAAAACCGACCAGCAGTAATTTGCAGTTTACACAGATGTAAAAACAGACTACCTCTTACGATTTGTCTAAAAGTTATAATATTTTAAAAACACCTTACATTTGTTCACCAAAATATTGCAAGACTCACCCAGTAAGTCCCATAACATTTATTCACCCCTTCTGCTTTCATTAGCAAATATTTAAGACTTCTTCCTGCAAAATTTTTATTCAGTTGAGTAGTATTAATAACAGACACCTTCACAACAGGGAAATTTAAAGATTAATAAAATATTCAAGAGTTACTTCCACAAACAGACAAAAAATCCTTCAGTAGAAAACCAACTGGCTCAACCTAGTGATTAAATTACAAAATATATTTCTGAGACATGGTATTTGCCATAAGAAATAAATACTCTGTCATCTGTTAAAAATTGCCCACATCCTCAAGAGACGAATTTTCAGGGCAGCAGCTCCAACAAACATGTTGCCACTCATACATTAGTCACCTACTTTGGAGACCTTGGGTCTACAAGTTGGCCTTGCATCTGTGAGTACTTCACCCAAAATAATTTTCAATCATAATTTCTTGTGTCAGTTTCCAGTTTATATAATCAAAATAGGATAAAAACGTGTGAAGAACCCGTAAGTGGTTCATCATTTTATAGAAGCCAAATTTACACAGTTACTAGTAAACGTATGTCTGAAATAGGTCTTCTTCCTAATCAAGTTTCATTGTGAGTGACAAGAACAAAACATTTGATATGTTGGAACAAATTACAAGTTATAATAAGAAATATGGAGCAAATGTGATGAATTGATAGAAGATAAGTTATTCATACAACTTGTATGAAAACAAGGGTTTGTTAATTTTTCCCACTGCAACTGTCATTTTGAGATTTCCAAAACCTGTTTCTTCACAGCAAATTCATGGAGAGATTTAGAAGGATGTATTTCTCGTCTTTGACTATATAGGAAGACTAATGTCAACCCATTTTGAGGAAAAGTATTCTTAAATGTTTAAAGAAGGGCAGATGATTCCCTTGTCATACACATACCTTTGCAAGAGACAGAAAAGGACATCCCCCATCATCAGCTCCACAACAGATCGTCCCTGACTCTTTGCTTGCTCTGATCTTGCTGATCTCATCAGGAAGACCTTTGTGTTAAATGACCTTTCCAGTTCCTGTAGTGGAATTAGCTCCTGGAGGCTTAAAGGACATTTCCAGTCTGCCAAATAAGGCCACAACAGAAATGTGGCTGATTCATGTTTGCCTGTCCACAGACAAATAAAATGAAGCAAGCTCTCCTGCTTCAGAGTGAGAAGACGACATGACCTCCTAAAGAGGTGTGTAACTGCTCAAATATCATATTAAGGAAAATGGTAATTTTGGCATTGATATTAGAAACGCCCTTGAAATCTTTCTGAACTTACTCAAATGGATGTAACTGTTGGTAAGGGAAACAAGTGTGCCAAGACCAGTGATACTGGCTTGGAGGTAGGTTTTATCAGCACAGGAAGCATCACCACCTCTGTATCACTAGCACAGGCTTTTGGTGTGGGGATATGTCCCAGGAAGAAGGCTGTGACCAAAGTCCTGGCCTCTGTATTCAGAAGATGTCTTGCCACTGGGCTTCAGTAAGAGAAGTGCAAGCATCTGGCATGCTGGTGTTGGTATTCTCTATGCAGTCACTTCTGATGATGTTGCTCTTACCTATCAAAGGGCATTTGAAAACACTGTCTATTTGGATTTGGTTTTCTGCTGTCTACATACTACCTGCCCTTCATCAAATGTTCCAGCCATGGATTTGAGGTCCAGTGTCCTGTGATGGTCAAGTCATCGTGGAAAAGGAATATACCTAACCAAACCATGGCATTTGCCTTAGTAGAATAGGCACAGCCATAAAATCACAGGTGTTTGGATCACTGGTTACCAAAACCAGACTGCCTCATCATGGGAAGTGCTTAAACTCTGATGGCTTAGATTTCACTTTCAGGCAGAAAAGCAGACTACACTGCCACTGTATTTTGACAGAAGACATCGAGCAGTCTCCTACAAGGAGACAGAACACTCTCCATTAATGGACAAGTTAATGCTGAAATGAATTCACTTGTACAGAGTTGGTTCTGACTTGCTGCCATGTACAATAAGAAATGAGAGAGTCATGGCCACTCTGCTACTAACACTCTCTCTGCAGAATATGAAAATGCATACCTCAAAGAGCAACATCAAGATGCAAGATTTTGAACATCCCACTTTGTGACATACAAACATTTATACTGTGATCCACACAGTTATATACTTAAAGAATTTACTTTTACAAAATGAAGCAACATTGAAACAGCAACAATGGCAAAAGCATTCAAACAAGCTCACCTTTCAGGAATTTCAAGCCAGCACTGACATTCAGAGCTGCAAATCCAAACAATTCTATCTTAAGAACAGACTTAATCATAACTTAAAGCAGAGAACGAACACTCCTACTTCTCATGCTGTTCACTCTCCAGTTACTTGTTTCTATAGAAAACCTTGCTTATTCAAAAATTACTGAAATAATATCATTGCTCCTTAATCCCATTCGCCCTCAAAATAAAAGCTTGGGAAACTATGCCATCAACTAATGACACCTGCCATCACAAAATATTCTTAACTAGAGAAATGCAGCTCTAAATCAAATAGATAAAATAAACGAAAACCTGAATTCAACTCTTAATGAAGATACACAGTGTCTCTCTTGCTGTCTTTACATAAATATAACAAGTGTAAATAGACTATCACTGGAACTTTAAACCAACAATATTCTATCCTGAAAAACTATCAAATGCAGTCATCTGGGTTGAAATTCCTGTCTAAAAAAGGTGTTTAATGATTCTAACCCATCTTGAGAGAAAACTTAAAAGTTGCATCTTATGACATTTCTGGTTATTTGGCCATTAGTTGTCTAATTAAATTAGAGCATTACAATTGAGTAAAAACTGTAACTTACTTCATCCTTGAACCTGAGCTCCCCAGCCTTTCAGAAACACAACCAGATCGGAAAACCATGGCTTGACAAGCATCTGATAGCTAAACTTTAGAAAACGTATCATACAACACACACATTCTTACCAGTTGCTTGTGCCTTTGGGTAGAAGGAGTACTGGAAGGAGAAGAGCCAGCACTCAGAGCTTCTTCAATATCTAAGTTCAACTGTTCCAGTTTCTTCATAAGACATGACATAGAGTTTGACCATTCAGATCCTTTTTCTGGTTGGGTCTAAAAAAATCAAACATACATGAAGCCTTAAAACATTCAAGCTTTTTGTAACTTGAAGACTCATTTTTCTTCTATCCCTCAAGGAAAAAGCTGACCAGTTCTTTCCCTGTCCTTGAGTAACTTCACTCCATTTAGAAAGCTTCAATTATCACTCCAATCCTGATGACATAAATTCATAGTTGTTCTTCATACTCAAATGATCACACTCCACTTCTGTATATCTGAATGGCTTCCTAACACTTCATCTTGGGTGAACCACTGCCAGCTCAAGCTAAGCACAACCAAGACCAAAAACAAAGTAACTTTAATGTCTCCTCTTTAAGCCACTTCTATTTTAGCATCTCTCCACTGATTGCTTGTTGTCAGTAAGAAAGCTGAAGGCCACCATGTAGACTGTATTTTATCCCTTCCTATAATTCCAGATTCTGTCAAGTCTTGCAGCCTTCTTCTGCCCATCTGCTGGGAATACTTTATTGGTCTCAAACACTTTCTGTTTTCATGGATACATCTTCCCCGTGTATCTGAACTCTTTGACTGTATAATGAAAACATTAATCCATTGCAATGTAACTGCCAAAAATACTTTTCCAGTGACTTCCCTTAAGCATCCTTCCACAGCAGTCCCTGTGCATGCTGCTGCATTATGCCTCATCTTCCACATTTAAATCACTTCTAATGATCCACAAGAAAAATACAGTCACACTGACCTCCCTGTCATCACGGGCAGCTACTGCTCCCCAGATTAGTCTCTGTCTGGAAGGTACTTCAGTTCTTTCATCTTTCTTACTTTCACAAACAATACATATCTATACACAGAGGATAATTTCATAGCACACAATTCTAACAGACTGAGCATACAAACAGTAATACTGCATTGCCATCCTGACGAAATCCTAAGAGCATCATACCAACACTCCACAATACCTAGAGGAGCTAGAGGAATATTGTTGTTATTCTTACCTGATAAATCTTTATGGTGATTTGTTTCCTTATGAGGGTTTCACAAACGGGACAGAGAGAATTGTAATTTGCTCACTATTGTAGAAAAAAGCTTTGTGAATAGTATCCAGGAGGCTCACTCCAGTATTACACTGACATATATTATTACTAATGGGATTGCTCATCTTTACCACAGTAACTAAGCATAAGGCCCCAGACGGTCAGACATCTGGTCCTGTATTAACCAACAGACACATTTTCCCTTCAGAGGGGCTAGTATCATCATAGGGATTGTTTTGAAGCACAGAAATGTAAATGCCCAATCTTTAGTTTTCCAAATATTTATTTGGAATTTCCCAAATTTTTACAAACTCTGAGTATTCTTCCTGAAATGCTGTTAAAAGTGCTAAGCTCTATTTCAACTCTGCAGCTACTAAAATTATTTAAACAGATACTCTGATTACTTCCCATTGTCTTCCCAACCATTTTAAAGTAAAACATACTATGTCACACAGGAAGTGAGTATCAAAAGACACTGACATGTTGAATCCATTCTGAGCAAGATCTTCTTACACAGGTAATGTGCAACGTGATATATGTCTACAACAACACATTTGTAAACCAAGTAAAGATTCTACATTTTCCTGTAGTTGTGCTTCTGCACATACTAATCTTTCCAATACTAAAGAATGCTCAAAAAACCTCAACAGGGACAAAACACACAAACCAACCCAAGCTCCAGCACAATGAATATAGAAAGTCTGTCAAAATCCAGTATGAAGGTTCTGTTTCTTAGCCCAGTTAAACTGTAGTTTACAGAGAAGGAGTTGTAAGAATGTGCTTTCTTACTTATCAGTGGTAAACAATTCTGAGGCAACAGTTACACAGGGAAATTAGTAAAACATGTTTGATTTCCTTGAACTATGCAAAAACTGTACTTGCCAGGTGACAAACATTGAAGGTTACACTAAAGTTTGGATTTTCGAGCTCAATAAAAATGAGGAGTGATTTACAAAAGTGCCAACAGTACATCTTCTGTTCCATGGCAGAAAAGAGTATTTTGGGGGGCTGGAAGAAAGTGATGAAAATGTATGAAGACTTGAAGAAAGACTTAAAAATACTTCTAAGACACTCCAAATGCATAAAACAATACCTATGAAAATGTGTTACAATAAAAAAATCCAGCTCCATGCGTAGGGAAGCACACTTTGCCTTTATCTTGACAAATATCTACCTACTGAAACAATAATTCAAGCACTCACTAATACTCTGCAATACATCTCTATGAGCCAAATCCCTTATTTTTATAAATTTATCGTTTTACTGTAACAGAACTCAAACCACAGTAATTTCTTACAAATATAATTCCTAAGGAGTTTCACCAAACTACAACTCTCCTAGCTTTCTCCACTCAGTCCTGCCTTTTTTAGTTCAGTAAGACTCTATATTGAGTCTATTAAGGGGATGAGGAAAAAGATGGGTTTTCATTATCCTTCAAGATAAAGCCAAATGGGCCTAGTTAACAAATGCCATTCACTAATTGGAAATTTGGCACAAAAGCATCATTTGGAACAAACGCTGATTGGCTACGTATTTCAAAGGTTGCCTGAAATTCCTGCTGAACAGCAAAAACATGATGCTACTTACATTCAAAAATATACAGCCTGCACAGTAGGACTTCTAACCAATGAATAAATTCTGCTTAATCCATTCATGAGGAACACAGTTCCCCAGTGTTCAGCCCTAGTAACTAGGTTGGACACTACCAAAGTGCTCAGAAGAGTTGAGTATCAGTGTATCCTGCCCATAGCAACTGCAGAAGCAGTAGGGTCAGAGTATCTTTGGAAGCTCTTGTGTCTCACCCTTCAGGAGGAAAAAAAAAATCTCACTCTAAATTATCTAAGAATCATGGTCTGCTTTATTCATTGTTTTTCCCCTAAAAAGGTGTACAAGGAGAACACTCCTTTCCATATTCTCTCAAGGTCTCCTTTCTTTGTTGGAGCCACAATCACGCAACAATGCATAGAAATGCTCCTGAAGAATATGAAAATCGTAGAGACAGAAGTGCATTACAGGAACAGTTTTTGCATGTTACATTGAAATATAGAATCGTAGAAGCATTCAGGTTTGAAGAGACCCTTAAAATTATTCAGTCTAACCGTTAACCTAATACTACCAAGTTCACAACCAAACCATGTCCCTAGGCACCACATCTACACACCTTTTAAATACCCCCAGGGATGGTGACTCAACCAGTTCCCTGGGCAGCCTGTCCCAATGCTTGACAACCCTTTCAGTGAAGAAATTTTTCCTAATATCCCAATCTAAACCTCCCCCGGTGCAACTCGAGGCCGTTTCCTCTTGTTCTATCCTTGTCAAATAAATCTTTCCAGGTGGAACAACCCTGTCTATGAAAATTGTGTCATACATTAGGCAGAGAATGACATCCGGGTCTTGACAGTGAATTCCTTTGCCTTTGCAGCTATTATGCTTCAGATAGTTATTGTATATGAAGACCTAGCCTAACCTTTTAATATTTACTAAGACATATTTAGCAATCAGCCAAACATAAAATTTAGTTGTAGGTTGCTACTTCGTACCGCAACCAGTTTGTTTTAGAACAGCAAGCTGGATGTTTTTATTACATGTACACAATCATATCCAGATTCTGTGTTCACTTACATAGCTGAAATTTCATTACTACCAATAACAAATTACAGTGGTAAAACACGGCACAGGATTATGGTCCATCACCTTAACAATTACTTGTTCTTTTATTAGATTGAGAAGTCAATACATTCCAGACATTCAACTATTTGTACCTTTTGGACCAAAGGCTTCTGAACCCTGTTTTTCAGCTTTGAAGTGTTCTTCACTAATCTTATTCAGCAAAAACATCTGCAATAAAAGGCATATTTGTTTCAATGTTTTGCCCATGAAGATTATTGCAACAGGCATAATAGCTGCCAGCACATCTAAATTTAAACTGAAAGAATGTGGCAGAAATTAACAAGTCCATATAGAACACTCAGAGGTCAGGGTTAACCATGCTGCCAGACCTCATCCTATACTCGAAGCAGAAAGGCTTCCAAGTGAAGGGTTATGAGAAAATTACACAACTGCAAATTTATCTGGTAACTTGTGGCTTTCATTTCAGAAACCTTCAATAGGTCAAATTGTTCTGATAATTAATGTATTGTACAACTTTGAATGATAAATTACTAACCTCCAAATAAAAAAATACCAATGCTATTTAACACTCCTCCCTCATATTAAATCTGTTTAGATAAAATTCTCTCTGATGTATCGCCTAGATCCACAAAGAATGATTTTGTGGAAGTATTTCAGAGATCAAATATAATATTTTGCTCTTGCTGCACGGATAGGGCTCCTCCATTCTCAAAAGAAGCTCTGTGTAAAAGAAGGTCTCTCAGCCACTGGTGGCTTTGCCTACAGGGGCTGGGGGGAGGAAGCCAGATTGGTTCCTCACACAAAATCCTTAAAAAAAAAAAAAAAAAAAAAAAGTATTTAGAATACAAAGGACTCTTTTATTCTCAAAATAATTTATGTGTGCCTTCTATATTGAAGATAAAATATTCCAAAGGGAATCTTCCCTCATATCCCACTATAGTGTTGTTTAAATATTTAGAGCTTTTAGATGGACAACTAACTTGTGACACCTTCATCCTAGAAAGCTGGTAAACTCTGCAGCGAGCAACCTTTCCACTTCTAAGAACTGTATTGCTATCCATCTGAAATGAACAAGGGAAGCTTCTTCAGTCTCTCAAGTCAGCAGACAAAACAATGCACATAGCTAGGGTGCTGGGAAAATGAAAGTTCTTCAGGGATATCTCATAAAATTCAGAGAACTCTGGATCCTTCTGATCCCCAAAACATGGAAATATTCACCTAAGATGGGCTATTAGGACCTCAGCAGTCTTCCCAAACAATGGGTACATGAAACACTAATATGAATATACTGTTAATTTAATTGGCGTTAAAGGAAATACCTTTACGAGGATGAACCCTCTTCCCCCAAGCCTATGATATTTACACTTCTTA